GGGGAGCTACTGGGAAGGGATTGGGAATGACTGGGAGGAACTGGGATGCACTGGGGAGGCACTGGGAGGAACTGGGAGGGGCTGTTGTCACCACTGACCCCCTCCCCTTTTCTCCCCTGACCCCCCCCAGATCCTTCCCCAGCAATTACTGGGACAAGTTCATCAAGAGGAAGGTGAGGAGGGGTTCTGGGTTGGGACTGGGACCCCCTACCCAGATTTTGGAGGTGTCATTTTGAGGGTCTTGACCTCAGTTCTGGGGTCCCACGCTCAATTTTGGGGTCCCCCCAGGTGCTGGAGAAATACGGGGACATTTATGGACGGGAAAGGATCGCGGAGCTGCTGGGGATGGACCTGGCCAGCCTGGAAATGGGGGCCCAGGGGGAGCGCAGACCCCCCCCCGACAGCTCCCTGCTCACCTGGTGGGATTTGGGGGGGATCTGGGGGGGTATTTGGGGTCCTGAGGGGGGGATTTGGGGTCCTAGGGGGGCCCAGGGGGAGCGCAGACCCTCCCCCCCGACAGCTCCCTGCTCACCTGGTGGGATTTGGGGGGGATCTGGGGGGGGATTTGGGGTCCTGGAGGGTCCTGGGGTCTCCCCTGGGGGGTCCTGACCCTGTCCCCACATGCTGACCCCCCTGTACCCCCCTCAGGATCACCTCCATTGACATCCGGTACCAGATCTGGAAATTTGGGGTGATTTTCACCGATAACGTGAGTGGAGGAGGGGGGGGGGAGCAGGGCCCACCTGGGCCGTGCTCTGGGGCTGTGTGACCCCCCCCCACACCCCCCGAATTTGGGGTGACACCTTTACCTGTCCCCCCACCTCAGTCCTTCCTGTACCTCACCTGGTACATGGCCATGTCCCTGCTGGGCCACTACAACAATTTCTTCTTCGCCTCCCACCTGCTGGACATCGCCATGGGCGTGAAGACGCTGCGCACCATCCTGTCCTCGGTGACCCACAACGGGAAACAGGTGTGGGGGGAGCCGTGTGACCCCAAAAAACACTGTGTGACCCCCTGAAATCCCTG